ATAATACACCAACACTGAAAATGTCTGCTGCTAAATCGTGCTGCTTTCACAGAATCACAGAATATGCTGAGTTGGAAGGGACCCATAAGGATCATCGAGTCCAACCCTTAGCCCTGCTTTCTTCTGTTTCACCTTCAGCTTTTTTCTCCTCTTCCACGGTATCACAAGCAGTGCAGGGGAGGATGAAGTATCTCAAAAAGGATGTCCAAAGATGCTTAAAATGCATATGTGGTACTAAAGCTAGACACTAGCATTATTGTCGGTCTAAAGGTAATTCTGTCCTTCTTCCTGTCTCCAGCTTCTTGGTTTCTGTGTCCACTCTCTCAGAAATTCACTCATTCCCTTCTGAGGCTTGGTCTAGCTATTCACCTCATCTTCCATTTCACCAATCCATATTTCTATCCTGCACAAAAATTCTTAAATGCCTGAGCTCCAGCAAAAGGGGTCTTGCATGCCTGCTATTACTGTCAAGAGGTCAAGAGTGCTCAGCTCCTGCCAAACTTGCTCTAAAGAGGACTTGTGTGGCCTCCCATCACTAACCTTAGGCCTCGTGTTCACAAAGACATTTATTGGGAAATGGCCATTTTCTTGCAGTTCAGCTCCAGCGGTGGCACAGCCAGTGCAGAGCCAGGCAGGCTGGAGACAGGCAGGAGAGACTGAACATCCTCACCCAGGAGCTCCTTCTGCTCCTGCTGCCAGGAGGACAGGGCACGCTGGAGCCTTGAGTCCTCCCCACGCCTTCCTCCAGTATGGTTAGCCCACAGTAACTAGTGTACACTTTTCACAGGGTAACCAGGGAAAAAGACAGAGGAAAAAGAGAAAAGTAGAGGCAATAATCTTTCCTTAGGCCTCCCCATGCTCCTGAGAGATGCATTTCAAGAATTAATTCTCTGTTATGGGGGAAGGAGTATGAGGAGGTGCTTTTTGGAAGCAGCTGTTTTAGGAAACAGTAAGCACAAGCATGGATTTGAAATGTGACCCTGACCTACTCTGTCCTTTACATTTTGCAGGAAAATGCTTTTATCTACTGCAGATCTACAGCTTTTAGCCCTTTCCTGAAAGAAGAGGTCTGTGACCTCTCTTTGAAATAGCTAAGCAGGGACTGTTCTTTTCCTTTTAAAACACAGTTGAAAGGGGAGATGATGAAACAGCATTGAATAAAATACGAATCCTTGGAGCAGAACTCAACCTATCCAGTTAACACACAGTGCCCTACCCACCAAGGTATGTTCATACCCTATTATCTTACTGGCCCAATGAATCCTGAGTTCATTTCTATTCAACAATCTAGATTCAACAGGATAGCTGAGGAGCCATACCCCATCATACCCCATTAACCATGGACACCTAAATGAGGCAAGAAAATGGGGCATGTGGGTCTCAACCCTGCAAGACAGGAAAGAAAGGTGAGCATAATTCTTTTGCAATTACAGGCTACCACATATAAAGGAAATGGCAGGGTGAGATTACCTTCCCTCTAAGGGAAAATGACACACAGTACTGCATTTTGCCCAGTCTTTCCAGTTCATAAGGCACTTAACTAGCTGGAATCCCTCTGGAGATTTAATCACAGGATTATCTAATTACTGGATCTCGAACGTGAAGCCCATGAAACCTGGGTTATGAATTCATTGTTACTTTAGCTTGGTATCTGAACAAAGGTGAGTAAATCCGAACTCTGGAAGAAGAGGGAAAAGATAGCTACTGAAGGATAACCAGTTACAGCTACTCTCCAAAAGCCAACAGCAATCAAAGGGCCTGCATCCAGATCCCGACATGCAGATGGAAAAGCATAAATTCCTGGCATATTTAAGGTTGCCAAAATCAACAACAACAACAAAAAAAGAACTGAAAAAAAGGAAAATATATAATAAAAATGTCATGAGCAGTACAACTTCTTAGGTTTCTCATTAAGTGTGTTCCACCAAAGCAAGAATATGTGGGTTCACTAAGTGAACACATTAAGTAAATTCTTGGTTCAAAATTCCACCGGGAACAATAGTCATTAGGCACTGTCACCTACTGTAGATGGTTGTGAATAATCTTAAGAGAGGAAAAAGCTATTAAATATTTCGTCTTAATACCTACCTGCTGTCTCATGGTCTACAAAAACAGACAAGAGAATTTTCCATAATAAATTTATCTCCTAGAAAAGGAAGAACTGTTACAGATTTTTTGCTGATTTTTTTCTGCACTTGTCTTTTTTGCCATTTCACTCCATACACTCTGGAAAGCATTTGCTGCCAGAGAGGAAAAATATATTATTTACTGAACCAAACCAACAGTTCATGTAGTTTTATGCCCTGTTCCTGGTGGCAGTCATTATGAGTTACGTGACACAGAATGGGATAGAAGAGGTACAAGAAATTCTAACTGAAAATTCTGAATAGCAGATTCAGTAAGAAAATCTTGGCTTAAACTCAGGATTAATATGTCCCAAAACATAATGATTTATAATCATTTAAATATTGTATCCCATTACTATTTGTCAGGTTTTCCAATTTTAGTTCTGGTAGTTGGATAATACTGAACTGTTTCAACTCATACATTTCTAAACAGGACCTCACTCCTGTACTGATCATACTAGTTCACTAACATGAGTTAAACCAACTGAGAAACAGGCTGTTCTCCATCTGCTACCAACAAATGTGATCTAATACATTAATTATATTAAAACCTTATCTTTGACAAGTTCATTTAAATGGTGCTAGAGAACCATTAACACCACGTTTTCCAGTTAAATTTATTTTGGCTCACAGTCTGGTCTAATATTCCAACCCACCCTAACTACAATCTGCTTTTGAAGAGCAAGCCATTAGTTTTCTGTTTAACAGCTGTCTACTTCAGTTTAGATTTCCAAAGTCAGATGCAAATCCCTCATATTGCCTCCATTCTTCTTGACTGCTCTGCTCAGATAAATTTCCCCATGACCACCATCTCCGTTACGTTTCCTAAACCAGAAATGAGCATGGATTTGCAACATAAGCAGTAGGTCTTCAGACTGGTTAGTCTGACACAGGCAGACAAATGGGTTTTGTATCCTGTTTAACATTAGCTAGTGTGTGGTAGAACTGATTTCTTCCCACACTTAATTCCATTCTTCTAGAATTGTGAAAAGTCAGTGGCCTTGATTAGGTATTTTGTCAAATAGTTTCTGATGAGGTACATGGCTGGATGGATATTTGACTAGTTCTGCATCTGAGCTCCAGCAGAAACAGCTCATTAGTTCAGCTCATATTTTTCAGCAGAAAGAGCAGGATGAAATGTCATGAGGCTGGCCTGGATTATGTGCGAGGTTTCTGACCTAATTCACTTTCCTTTTTCCTTCTTCTCCCCCCTCCCTCCAGTAAATCTAATATCTGACTTGCATAACTACGTTGAAAATTATAAATACCTCTTCTAGGAAGCACTGTGAAAAGTCATTGCATCACAAGCCTTACAAAGAGATGCTGAAAAAGATCTTTCATTAAAAGTGTATTAGGTGCTAAATGAATCTACAAAGCCATACTCAGAGGCTCATATATTGCATGTACGGGGAATGAGATTATATAAAGTTTGTCTCTGGCAATCTGCTACTTAAATGGAACATTAATGTAATAGAAAGCATCTGCTTCTATCAGCAAGGCTACCATCAAACACTGTACAGAGTAATCTCTGGCTGTTAATAGCATTTCACAGGAATCACCACAGACAGCACAGAAAACATATCCACTGCAGCAATATCCAGCAATATCCAATGGATAGTCCTTTCTCTTCAACGAATTTAATGCAAAATTAGAAAGGTCAGCACTTGAAATTTCTTCTGTATCTCAGGTCCCCAAAATATGAGGATAGCATACCAATCTGATCCATATTTTCCATTTTATCTCCCACCAACACTGAAATCTGGTACAAAGTATATAAGGAAGGAAGAAATGTTCTCAGGCATGGAGTGTGGTTCCCCCCTTATGTTAATGATATGGAATTTAAGTTGTACTTAATGGATTAAGATGAGGAAATTAAATTGAATTTCCAAGCCAAATCCTTAACTGGTGTAACTCACATGTAGTTCAGACTTAAATAACACCAAATTAACAATATAAACTGCCAGGCAGTAAAAACAATCACAGTAAGAAGGAACACATTACTTAGCTATGACATTTCACTGACTAAATAAAATATCAGGTTTCAGCAATTTTAGCAATAGCAAGGCTTCAAGTAGTAGTTAGCAAGATGCTTCTGAAAAAAAAGTTATTTGCTATTCTCTTTGTGTCTGAAAGAGACTTTCTGTCTTGTGTTGTTTTACCTTCTATCACTTCAAAACCCAACCACAAAAACACGTGATGTTTATAGAGCTTCATTTAGACTTCATCAAGGAATGGTGGATAAGGGCTTTTCTGACCACCCTGACATTGGAATTCCCTTCTCCATATTCCTTTAAAAGTCTGTGGACACTTCACACTTAAACCCACTGTTATGCATAACACTGACACTCCCTTTCTCACAGATATGACATAAAGAATATGTTCTGAGCATGTTGAACCCAATGAAAAAGAGGAGAGGAACTCTCCATAAAGTCATCAGAATATTTGTTTAGGAACTGGACAATCCAGATCAAAAAGCTTAACCACATTATAAAACTTGGACCTACCAGCAAGGACAGCATCCCACTAGAAACCACAAGACAAGTTGTTCCCAATCTTCCCTTGTGAAGCTCTTCTTCTTTGCATAGAAAAATTTAAAAATTTGCTATTAGTTTGAGAGAGATCCTTGGAATTCAAAAATGAATTAAGTCCTTGAAGAAATTAATATTTGTTTCCTAAAAGCAGCAAGAAGATGGGGAGGGCCATGAGAGACAAGGAGCTCCCCAAAAGCACTGACACCAGTGGGGGTGCCCCTCTGCTGGCCTTTCCCCAGCTCCTGGATGTTTTGCCATTTCTGCACGTTTACTTATAAATCCATTTTTTAGGTAAATATTAGATGCAAGAATTTGGTGACAGAATTCATAATCGTACCTCTGGGTTGTGAACTCACGCAGCCCTCTGGGTTTGCAAAGTCAGGAATTACAGCTAGCACTGCAGCAAGAGAAATCCCCTTGAGCATCTGCTCTCAGTGCCTCAGTCCTGTGTTGCCCACAGACCAGGTTATTCTACAGAACAAAACGTAATAAAACCAATTTTTTTTTTTTGCCAGGTAAATCATCACTGCCTCAGTCAAGAAGCAATTGTAATCTCTAATTGCAGAAACAAGTATTTTTCCCAGTTCAATTTAACAAGGAATAGTAGTGACTAATTGATCCCCCATCTAAAAACATGACTTTCTGCCTCTTGTTAATGACTTTGAGAAGACTGAAAAGCTTTTGTCTTACTAATACGGCACATTTTTTTAGAATTACATATTTTTCCAAAATATTTCTAGATTAGATTTCAGGACAGCCATAAATCTATGTTAGAAAATACCTTGGCAAGCAGCTAAGGTTTGTTTGTACAAAGTGTTTCTGAGTAATACTTAGCAGATTATGCTGCAAATGTTTTCAAGGCTAAAATCAAATCTGATCTAATCAAAAACAATTCAGTGGAACTTCCTGGAGGAAAAGACAGGTCCACTTACATGACATCTTTATTTTTTGTAGGATTTTCAGAAATATGGATGTTACGTAGAGATGCTCACACTCCAAAGCCACTGAGTGTTTGAAAAAGCCATTTATAATAAAAATTTTAATAAGCAAATTGATGACTTAGGAGCCTAACTTCCCATTTTGAAAGTCAGATAGGCACCAACAAGCTCAACTGTTCTAAAAATACAAGTGACTCAACACCATAATTCCCCAATTCTCATGCACATATCCAATGTGAATTAAGCTTTTTTACCTTTTAAGGAATAGAATTATTGCAGATGGCAACTGCTGATATTCAAGCAAATAAAGAGACTATGTGTACCATCTCCAGATTCTTCTTTTATGTCTGAATCTGAAATTAGTTCATCTTGGAGTTGGTCAAGGGTAATTTTTTTCAGTCTTTAAATTTGAGCAAGATGGCTCTCAGAGCTGGGGGTAGTTTGTAGAAGACTTCTCAAAGAGCACCAAAACCAAACCAGAAAATACAAACGCTGAAAATAGTGACAACTTTTATATTCAGAAATATTTGTTAGGCCACTATTTTAAATAGCTTTTTCCATGAGAAGGGATTACCCGAAAAGGAAGAAGGTGGTCATACACATTTGTACCTCTTGCTACCTGGGAAACAGAAGGAAAATTTTAGTGTCATTTACATACACATTCTAGGTTGTCTGCCAAAATCTTAGCACAAAAGCCCCATTCCTCTTCTGCCAGGTAAGGGGGACGCAAGAGAAACAGTGCACCCAAACCCCTGTTTCCTTCCCTTGCCATGCTGGGTGAGAAATGGTGCAGCTCGCTGCTTCCTCAGCATCGAGATGCCTGTTGGGGACTTGCCTTTCAATTTTGCTTTTTTCTTGCATCCAGAAATATCTTCAGTGCCTTAATGTTTCAAAAGGATTTTCCATCAACTAAATATTTAAAAAAAATTCCCCAGACATTTTCTAACATTCAGCAATCTGCTGAGTTTTGGAGAAGATGATTACTTATTTGAGCACAGATTTTCCTTTTTCTTAATTTTTGCACAGTGCTTTGAACAATAGGAGCCTAATTATACTAATGGTCCTCTGCCTCTAAAGTATGTAACTCATTTCAGAGACTTGGGCATTTCCATCTGTGCCAAGTCTGAAAATTCATTATTCTGCAAATAAAAACCCCAAATCTCAAAGCATAGCAACATTTAAAGATCTAGCAGATCTTTAAGGATCTACTTGAGCCAATAATATAAATATACTGACTCAGAGAAACAAACCTGGTTCTGTGAATTTTAATTTTGTTTCCAGACAGTATCAGATACCTTGTCTAAAAGAACTGCACTCATCCAATCTGTTGCCAGTAACCGTTTCCCATTTCATACAACACATACATTGTGATAAATTAATATCAGCATTTTGGTATAGTTATATTTAGTTACATAGTCATTAGTGATAAACTAATACCAGTATTCATACCTGAATTTGGAAGATGGAGACCTAAGGTACCATATTTGCAAACTGAATGGGAACACTTGGGTGAAAAAAAAAAAAAAGTAAGGGAACCTAAACTTCTAAATAAATGCTGTTGAAGAATACCTCTCAGAGTGTGAAAAAAAAAAAAAAAAAGAAATGGTTAGCAATTGTATGTTTTAAATCCATGAAATGCTGCAGTACTGGAATTTGTTGATGTTTGTGCCCTTTCTGACAATTAGGTGCTTGTCTGTGCTTGCTTTGTCTGATAAGAGCGTGTAATCTTTGCTGTTGCAAAATTTCAGGCTGCTGATGAAACAGCCTGAGGAAGTCTGGAACTACCTCTTTGACATGCACAGCAGGATGTCTCAAAAAATGAACCAACAAAACTTTGAGAGAACTCTCCTACAGAAGCAAAACCAAGTGAAAACTATGTGCATTACAAGCGTAAACACACTTTGACATCTGGGAAATGCTCAGATAGGATTAAAATGAAGGGCAAATAACTGTCTAAAAAATAATCCAGTATGGACAAGAGTCTGTGCACAGATATGATTACCCCAACTAAATGTAAATATTTGTCCTTTACTGTTTTATTCCCCCTTGTGTATCAAGCTTATACAATGGTAGGACAATTTGCCATGGTCTACATTAGGGGATATAGGCATCATGTTAAATTATTTCAGTTGCAGAAAATCACTTGGTGAAAGTACACATCAAAATTTTTCTGTCTCAGATGAAAGGCTGAAGGTTGGGGGAACAGAACTTGATGATGATCTCAGACTGGTGACTTCATGGCAAGCAGACAAATAGGAAGTCTTCTGTAGCATCATGCTACCAGAAAATGAAGACATTCTTTCTCACAAGGTTTTGCTGATATTTTATTATAGGTGACATTTCTGTGAGTACCCTGTGTGCAAAAGATGGAGCACTGCACTACAAAACCTGTAATGAAAAGCAATCCCAACCAATGTTGATTTCATTTATAGGTAGCATCACAGGAAAAAAATGGAGCAGAAACCCAACACACTCTTTTGCTATATATGGAACTTCCTTGCTAAGGATAGTGCTCTAGAATTTTTTTTTCCCTCTGTCTGTTTTTGCTACAACTGTAAAAGAAGATTTCTGCCAGCATGTAGCAATCACTACAACTTTGTAAAAGAGATGATAAAACAAACATTGTGAGAACAGGTAGCTGGAACAAATGATGCAGGGGCTTTCCTTCAGCACTACATTCCTAGTCATAAAGTATTTGAAAAGGAAGCCTTCATATGTTTTCTTATTTTTATATTTACTTAAACAAAAGAATGTTGAAACTTGAAGCCTTGTGACTCTCATCAAGAAAAACTTCAATAAAACAGGAAAAGATCTTGTACATCCTGCGAATTATTGCATCATTAAAAGGTAAATTACAACTTAGTACTTCAGAATAGTATCGTGCAAAGGCAATAAATTTTCAATGCCACCTACTGGTAAAATAAATTACAAAGTGTGCAAGACTGTGCCTGCAACACCCCTGCCTTGAACAGCCGCTACCCAGAGACATAGCTCGTGTGGCACACAGGCACTTCTGAGCTCTCTGCAAAAGAAAACACTCTACTCCGTGTGATTTTATCGTAGAAACATAGAATGGTTTGGTCTGAAGGGACCTTTAAAGTTCATCTGTTCCAACTGCCCTGCAATGAGCAGAGACATCTTCAACTACAGCAGGTTGCTGGCCTTGAAGACGTCCAGGGATGGAGCATGCACAGCCTCTCTGGTCAACCTGTGCCAGTGCCTCCCCATCCTCATTGTAAAGAAATCCTTCCTAATATCCAATATAAACCTGCCCTCTTTCAGTTTGAATCCATTCCCCCTAGTCCTATCACTACATGCCCTTGTCAAAAGTCCCTCTCCAGCTCCCTTGTGGCCCCTTTAGTACTGGAAGGTGCTAGAAGGTCTTCCCAGAGCCTTCTCTTCTCCAGACTCAACAACCCCATCTCTCTCAGCCTGTCTCCATAGCCAAGGCGCTCCAGTCCTCTGGTCATCCTCATGAGGACCCCAGAGCTGGATGCAGCCCTGCAGGTGGGGCCTCACAGGAGCTGAGCAGAGGAGAAGAATCCCCTCCCTCTCGTGCTGCCCACGCTGCTTTTGATGCAGCCCAGGACGCGTTTGGTTTCGCAGCTGCAAGTGCCCATTGCTGGCTATGTCCAGCCTCTCACCCACCAGCACCCCCAGGTCCTTCTCGGCAGGGCTGTTTATCACGGCAGAAGGAATCTCAGCCCACGGCCAAGGCTCTGGTGCAAGTATAAATAACCAAGGCCAGCAGTTCACAGCCCCAGCACCTGCCGTGGCCTCTCCTGCAAGCACCACCTGCTCCACAAGTGATGGTCAGCGTTCGCTCCTTTGGTTAGAACCACCTCCCTTCTCGCCTGAGCAACGCGCCGAGCAGATAGAGAGGGTTTCTGTTGTAATCAGAATTATTCGTCCCCCCTTGAGCCACCTCAGGCCTTTAAAATATTTTAAAACAAAACAAAAACAAACAAAAAAAAAACCCAAACAAAAGCAAAACCAACCGACCAACCAAAAGCACACACACAAAAAAGGAGCGTTTAGTTTTACCCCGCGAAGGGTGATTAATTGGGGGCGGGGGGAAATTTCTCAGACATGTTGTGCAGCCCCGGCACAGGGCAGTCGCCATCCCGAGGGGGGGTGGGGGAGAAGGGGGGTATTGGGGTATTTAAAAGGCGTGTAGATGAGGCATGTGGGGACGCGGTTTGGTGGCTAACCGGTGGGTTAGCGGTGCGTCTCGGTGGTCTCGGAGGGCTTTGCTTTTCCAGCCTAAGGGATTCGCTGCCCCGGCCCCGGCCCCGACCCCGCACCGCCCCCGCCCCTCGCGTCCCTCAGGCGCCGCCTCAGCGCCCGCCCTGCCCGCCTGCGGGCCGACAGCGCCCCCTGCCGGCGCCGCGCCCACAGCCCCGCCGGGGCTCGCCCCGCTGAACGGCCCCGGTCTCACCCTCCTGGCGTCCCAAACACGCCTCCCTTCGCGTTATACGCTGCGCCGGTTTCGGCTGGCACAGAGTTTATTTTCTTCCCAGTAGCTGGGAGAGGGCTGTGTTTTGGATTTAACGCTAATGACGCGCTGATGTTTCGGGTTTTGCTAAGGAGGGCTCACCGTTAAGTCAAGGGCTTTCTGCTGTCTCATGCTCTTCACAAGGAGCCAGGAGGGATCGCGGCCAGGACAGGTGACCCGGACTGTCTACATTCACACCGTAGAATGCCATGCCCGGTGTGTAAACTGGGGGAGTTACCTGGAAGAGGGGGCTACCTGATTTGGGAATGGGTTTGGCATCTGTCAGCAGGTGGTGGGCAGTGGTATCGTGCATCACCTGTTTTTCTTGGGTTTTCTCTCTCTCCCCCCCCCCTTTTTAATCACTATTATTATAATATTAGATTACACCTTATGTTATATTTTACTTTGTTTCAATTATTAAACTGTTTCAATTATTAATCTCAACCCACAGGTTTCACTTCTTTTCCTAATTCTCCTCCCCATCCCACCAGGGTTGAGGGGAGGAGTGAGCGAGCAGTACTTTAGTTGCCAGCTGGTATTAAACCAGGACATAAATGCACAGTTTCCTGTGTCTGTGCACGCTCTGTGTTTTCCAGGGGCTCCCAGAGCAGCGTGCCCAGCCCCCTGTGCCCCTTCCAGCCATGGCAGTCTGGGAGGACAGCGGCTGTGGGAGAGCTGGGTCAGCACCACGCTCACCCAGCGCTCCTGCAAACACTCTCCTCACTCAAGCTGTTTGCCTGTGAGGAGAGGAGTTCAAGTAACACCTGTTCTGTCTGTGGGGCTACAGCCGGGGTGCCCCATGGGGACCCCCGACAGCCAGCCCAGTCCCACCATCCCAGCCAGGAGCTGGGCACTGGGGCAGCCCCAGCCTTGGGCATTGGGCACCTCCACGGGGATGGAGATGGGGATGGGCAGAGGCCAGGCTGGGACACAGAACCATAGCATGGCTTGGGTCGGATGGGATCTTAAAGACCATCTCGTTCCAGCCTCTTGGCCATGGACAGGTTGCTTCCACAAGAGCAGGTTGCTCCAAGCCCCATTCAACCCCACCTTTAACACTTCCAGGGATGGAACTTCCACAGCTCCTCTGGACAACCTGTGCCAGTGTTTCATTCTAAAAAAATGCACCATCTCTGGGCTGCTCTGGTGCCCAACCAAAGCCCAGAAACGAACATCACATAAGCCAAAATTTTTAGCATTTGTTATCTCATTCACAAATTTATATTGAAAACACATATTTTAGTAGTCACACTTAAAGCTGTCAATTTCTTTCCACTGCATATATATATATATATATTTTAATATGAACAAATAAAAGCGTAATTATAGGGCATAAGTACACAATGGTGACTTTGGAAATAGTCCCTTAATTAGTTTCTTTAGGATGATGTCAAGCACCAAAGAAACAGCGCAATAAACCAGAAATTTAAGTAACTGGAAGGTTTCAATTCTGGCAGGACTGCTTTCCCTTATTATAAAAAGAACAGAACAAATTTCCCGAAATGTTTAATGTCAGTACTTGCAGTTCTCCTTTCACAACAGCAAGAGAAAAAAAAATTGTCTAATGCCCAAAAGTGACATCTGTGAAAAAAAATCTGTGCTAACAAGAATGAAAAGAACATCTAGTATAAATTATTCACAGAAATTCCCTTAATAGACTAAATTTACATCATAAAATCCTTTTTTACACAGTTTGCATAGTAAAGAAAGTTATGTTATTGATACTAGTGTTAAACCAGCTTTATGTGGTATAGCAGATCAGACTCATGCTATGTTTAGCAGATGGACACATTTCTGCTGCGTGTAGGGACTGTATCAGTTAGCCATCTGAGAACATCTTATCAGCACATTCATCCTTGCCATCTAATTTTAATTTAAGAGCATCACTATCAGTAGCTGAGATTTAAAAGGTTGAGAAAGCAGTCATCACCAGAACAGCCTTTTGTTATACAGCCCATCTCAGATAGCTCTTGCCACCCATTTGAAACTGGTGCTGCAGGCAGAGAGCAAGAGAGTGAATTGAAGCAGCAGCCATCTTCCCAGAACAGCATTTGGAATATCACTTGAGGAGGCACATAGTAGAGTCAACCAAATTAACATTTTCAGTGTTATTGACGCTACAAGATTTATTACTCCCTGTTCAATTTAAAAAGATTCCCTGGGGAAATTTTTAAGGGGTGCTTGCTTTATTAGTTGTTATTGAGTTGGACCATTTGACGGCTTGTAGGGAATGTCTGAATAACAAAAGCCTTGCTAGGAAGAGATCAAGAGACCCCTGGTGACTGATCCGGATGGCATTGATTTGATTTTAGCATGATGCATTTAGTTTCTATTGTTAGAAGAATATAGAAGATGAATTTATAGAACAAATAGTAACTGTGGGGCTGTGACAGAACCTGGAGCCCCACAGTGCACACAGCTCTCACTCTGGTAAGCATTTAATTTCAGCAAGATTACTGTGTACAGCTGGGTCACTGCGAGGAGGAAGCACTAGGGCTGAACCCCACAACTTCTACACTTGCTATTCACAGAGTCACTCCACTAATGTATCACAGCACCTCTGAGGTGAGGACAGGAGGAAAGATGAGAGAGGAAGATTTCTGTCACCTTAAAGTTTGTGAATAACCTTCTTCCAGCACAGAGAAGCCATGAAACATCCTTGCATAAGCAGGATGTAGAAACAATAGAAGTGTTCCGGGAAATACAAACATGGGGTGAATTAGAGTCACGTAGTCATGCAGTTTAAGAGGTAGTCTTGGTATTAAAATACAAAACACAAGGCTAGCTAACAAGTAACAAAACACAAGGTTAAGCACTGATAAGGCTGAATCTATTTTTTTTCTGAGGGATTATGAAAAAAACAGAGCAAATCTAGGAAAATGGAGACAGGAAAGACTGTAAGTTTGGTAAATTTACCCAGACATTAGAGCATTTATAGAGCCATGTACAATGACATCAGCTTCCTCTATACGCTGATAAAAAGAACTAGAAAAGCAAGAGTGCATCGAGTTTACAGGATTATATAATCAGCATCATTTGCTATTTGCCATAACCCCTACGTCCCTCATTTAGATTTAATCAGCAGTCGAAAGTTGTATTGCTGCTGTCAAAATGGCTTTTACTGTCCAAAGAAAGGGTTTGTGAATATTCCTGTTACACCAAGAAACAGGTAGTGGAGGGACATGATGTACTCAGAGATGGTTAAAATCAACTTATCTAAAGCTTAAACTAAAAGCTGAAGATTTTTTGAAAAGGACTTAAAATATGTCTTTAATAAATGCGTCGAAAAGTCTGAGTTGTTTCAATTTCAGATGAATCTCTGCTGGATGGGCAGCAGCTATCCATATTCTAGACTGAGAACTACACTGAGATATTTTTCTACTACGGTTCCAAAAATTCCCTATCCTCATGTATTTATTTTCCAGTCCCTAGTTCCCTGGCAAACATATAGTTGTGGCAACCTGATTGATCACCTCTACGATTCCACAGTGCAACCACTGAGTGCAACCTCCAAATTACCATGTGAAGGAAGCAAAGGGGTTTTGTTCAGCTGCAAGCATTTTGGGCCATATCACATCTGAGCTGTCAAATTCCAGATTTCATCAGTGGCCTAATATTAATCGATCATTAACCCCACATCTGTGCTAAATACTGGGCTTTGGTAAAAAAGTGTGCAAGGCAAATATTCAGATCATATAAACCAAAGGAAGACTGAAATCTGTTTCTCCACGCACACCAAGGTTATTCAGCAGGAATAACATTTGTCCCACTCTTTTTTGACCCTAGACTTTGCTGTGTACAGCTACTGTAATTATACTTAACCCTCTCTGTGTCACATATGCTAATGTAATTTTCTGTAATGTATTGGAGTCATCCAGAATTCACTCCTGCCATTCTAACAGAAAGCTTTATGCCTGTGGGGCTGAAACACACCTTTGGTTTTCCAATATGCCAGATGAATTCCCAAACCAGTGGATTACAATCTGTTTCCTTAACCTTGACTCTGATGCCAACCAGTCTACAGAACAAAACAGGTTTATTAGCAAGAGATTCCATGGGGTAGGAGATATTCTCAAGCAACAGCTCTAACTCACCATTTCTGCTGATCTAGCATTTCTCTGTTGCCAGGTTGATATCCTTGTCATTGCCCTACACAATTACCTTGTGCTAATTCTCTCTTGTTTTGGCCAGATTAAAAGAAATTATTTTTATAGAACAAAAAGTCTCAAGAATAGTAAACTTAGCAAAAGAATCAACTTCAAATGATTAACATTAGCTCTTGAAAATCCACTTGGACTCTCAGTTTGAATGATGTGTCTGTTATACCTGGTCTGGAACCAAAAAAGTCAGTGACTATGAATGTCTAAATGATGGCTAAAACACACAAAAAACTATTGATGGGTGTTTCCCAAGTGGAAGCTTTGCTCATCTTCCTGACTAGTCCGTGCACAGGAGGAGCAATTCAAGGGAGCTCCATAAGGTACTGCCATCCCTGACACACTGCCGTGCTCTGCGAGAGCCAGAGACAAGGCACAACAAATACTTCCTGAAAAGCATGTAACTGTGAGGGAAAGGAAGGACAGGCTTCTTCCCATTACACCAAATCAAAATACCATGTTCAAGAACCTGTCCACAGATGACTAAACCCAGCAAATGGGATGATCATATTGTGGTGAGCTACAGCTGTGGGTGTCACACAACAAAAGTATCCTGCAACCAAGTAAGATCAGCCTCACTGAAAGAATGATTGATTGCAAGCAAAGAAGAAAGAAATTAC